TTGGGAGCATATTGCTCCTGTCATTTACCATTCCGGATGCTCCCTATCATACTCTGTTATGTCCTTCTCTCCACAAAACCAAATACGCATCCCATTTGGTGATTTGCCTTTCAAAGCCTGGAACGGGCGTTCTTGCATTCAAACGGAGCACAGCAAATCCACTGTCATTTCCAAGGCCGAAGTAAACTGTTCGATCCGTTATAAGTGTAATGTGATCACCAGGACGTTTTTGGCGAAATGCGTGTGTCATGATTCCACTTGGGGATATTGTAAGGTTCAGTCTTTGTGTAATTTGAGTTACAAAGGCCGTCTTATAGGGAACGGTTTGAGCAGCGCCCGTGCACGCGCGCCTACTGATAGCTTTGTGGCGGTTAGCGATCAGCTGATTCCCAGAACTGCGTCTTGGTTGCTCCGCCCAGCTGTTTCTTTTGCGCGGGTGCGTGCATGCATGCGCGGACGTGTGTGTGCACAAACGTGCGCACTTGTAGATGACGTGCCCCTCTTGTGTGTACACGGCCCAGGTGTTCGCGCACGCACACGCCCATATATCTTTGTACGCGCATGTGTGCCTGGGTCTAGACTTAGGTACACATGCACTCAGAACTCCATCGCCTCGGCTTCGCGTGCGCTTCCGCGTGCGTATGCGCGTACGCACATGTGCGTATGAGAGTTGAAGATCTCACTGTGCTAATAACATGCGAGCTTTCTTACAGAGCTCTAGATTCGTTTTTATTTAAATTTTAGGTTGTGGAGGACAAGGTGGATGCTAACCTTCGCAATGAAGCTGTACATAGTCTGCGTTTCATGCATAATGCTTTTTTTACCCTCTCCGCGGAAGCATTCTGCAAGGCGGTTAATCTGATCGATCGTTTCATCGTCAAAGTCAAGGTGGGGTGTTCATTTTCCAAGATCTGCTTAACCGTTCTTCGATCACCTAGCTTTGGTCATTTCCTTTGTAGGTTAAACCCAAGTATATGGCTTGTGTTGCTGCCGCTGCTTATTACGTAGCCGCGAAACTGGTTGAGTCCACTCCGGTAAGTGGATGCAGCCAAGAGTGCCTGGTGGAGCTTTTCTGTATGCTATGAATCCAGGGCAATTTCATTTCATGGATGAGTCACTTACGTTAGCATCGTGCGTTATCTTTGGGCATGGGAAATGGATGGGGTGCCAACACTGCATGTTGGGTGCCAGATTGCTTAAAGGTCTCTTGGGTTTGGGTTTCGTTGATTCTAGCAATTGAATATGTGCACACTCTTGAAACGGCGGGCTCGGTATGACTTGCCGCTTTCACCCTCTCTGGGACCCTTGGGTATGACGATCTGGTATACTCGATTTCCGAGTAGATCCCAGGGCAGCTCAACGCTTAACTACTACAATGCTGTTTGAATTTGTTATGTG